ATTTTTCAACTGCAAAACAGACAGAAAAAGTCACAACCACAGGCAACAAATCAGCATCGGCATGACACAGGCTTTAAGTGACACTATGAAACGATGATCACTTAAATACAACTGATCCTCAACTTACCCCAAAACTGCCATTTGTCCATTAATGGAAAAGGATAAAACCATTAAAGCACCTTAGTTTCAAAGTCCAATAACTAACTAGAAAAGTGAGGCTCATGATTTTCCCTTTAATTAAAACATTGTTTGGTTCAAGGTTTTGGGATTTAGGTTTATGCAAACAGTTAACATTCAGGAACATTTTCAGGTGAAACTTGGTGACATTTTAAGGTTTTTAGTCAGTATTCAGGTGTTTTCTGATTTTGGACTAAGCCCTGGATTGTGATTTACACAGGACTTTCAGCATGATTAAAGGGGTGAAAAACCTCTTGAAGTCTACTAAATAACAAGGAAGTCATACCTTGACAATTTAGGGCATTTTTAAAGTGCCATAAAAGCCCCTTACCATGCAGATAATCCATCTAAAAATACCTTATCTCCATAAATTTCCATTGAATGTTAAAATTAATGGTTTGTAATACATTAAAGGGTTTAAATAGTTCTCTGCATGATGACATGCTATTTAAGAGGCAAAACCCCTTAACACTGAGTGGATAGCATGAAAGCCAGCTCTTCACCTTCACTGATAAATGAAGGCACCTTCACCTTATTTATCAGATTTAAGGAGATGTTACCCATTACAAAGCCCTTAAATTGTGCAGACAATTCATTAAAAAGACCATATTATGTTACATTTAATTAACTTTATAAAATCATATTACATAGCAGGTTTAGGGGGTAAAAAAAATAAAAACTACACTTTACCAACAACATTGAAGCATGAAATCATAAAGAAGGAGTAAAGGTTTGCCCTCTAACTGTGCAGTGATCTATTAATACTTTGTTAATCAACCAGATTCAATAATTATTTCATCAGTGCTAATGGTCAAATTAATTAGTTCACATCTGAAAAGATTTCCCATCTCTAAAAACAACCACATTCTAAACCTCAAAGGATTTAAACTGAACAGATCATCAGTTAATTAAAATGTCATCATATATTCCGAACCATTATCCTATTCATATTAATTATTTTTATATAATAGTGGAAAATGTAAGAGGTTGTTTCATAGTGAAGTGTAGTTGTATGTAACATTACAGCTTTATGACCGAAAACATAATATTTAAGTGTTTACAGAGAATCCAGTCATGTTTATGAAATATTCCAAAGCTTTATTTTTGAAATTAAATTATATGGAAACTTGCTGTGTGTGGCTTCATGTTACTCTGGGACCTGTTGATATGTGTACGCGCCTTTCCTGACCTCTGCTGGTTCCTACTAACGCAGCGGTTGCGCTGTGCCGGGTGTCTGATTTAGCGCCCACACCTGACGGGACCCGGCCTGTGCGCTTAAATAAGGCCGAGTGTAAAGACAGCAACACACCAGCTGCATGCGTGCAACAGTTGTCGGCTAATAATACCGACCTGCTGCGCCTTTAAGAGGATGACTGAGGAAACCTAATATCTCCACATCGAGCTCAAGTCTCTGTCAATAGAACAGGCGGTATCGGACTCTGTCTGTGCTCTCTGCTCCAAACTCCACCTGTTTTTTGTCGCTTTTTGTGTTACCTCACGGATTAAATTACGGATTGCACCTTTAAGAAACTGTCACCGGGATTAGGGTTACGCGCAGCGAGCAAGGTCGCCCTCCTAAGGGGTTTTACGCACCGTCGGTACCCAGGGAAGCGTCTCCTTCAGCGGTATTTCTCCCTCTGTCTCTCGTCTACCTCACTGGTCCTGACACGAACCGGGTCGGCCCTCAATACCTTGCGACATGGCCGAGACAGGGAAAGGGGTCACTGCTGGGAAACTGGCCAGCAACGTCCAGAAGAGACTGACCCGAGCGCAGGAGAAGGTAGGGCTGAGCGGGACACGGTGAAACCGGACCCCGCAGGTTTTCACCTTCAAATGGCACACATCCACCCGCGTACACGGCTCGAACCGAGACTGTTTGCTCAGATCATTAATGGGCTGTAGTACATTAAGATGCTTTAATGACCTTTCTGCGCGGTTTAAGCCCATTAACTTGGGAATAAACTCAACCTCCAATAAGGGCTCGACCCTGTAACATTTAATAACAGCTTTACTGTGCAGAGAAGTCATTGATCTTCAGGTTGGTCTAAGTGTGTTCATGGCATTCAAGTGGCTTAATTAATGAGCTGCACGTACAGTATGAGGTTTGCCGAGGTTTCTGGGTTAAGGTGTTTTACTAAATAGCTTTCAAATTGTATAAAAAGATGCAAGTTTTCAGTCAAGGTGGAAATTCAGTAAGATTGTTGTATGTTATAGTGGTTTTAATGGGTTTCTGCAGTCTCCTGACATTTAAAATTTGGACTCAGCCCTGCAACCTTTAACAAATCACTGAATTTCCGCACCTTATCTGGAAAAACTGGAGTCATTTAAGGGACGAATTCAGAGATTAATTTTGATTTCAAGCCTCAAAATTCCCGTGAGTCTTGTAGGGATTTGTCAGATATTTCAACTTACTGTGTAAATTGCGGGAACCTAACTGTTGCCTGGTTCAAAAACAAATGATGGTATTTGGTAGATTTTAAGGGATTTTTCCCCCTTACAATCCATTAAAATGCACTAACATATGAGAATAAGGAATTGAGCCAAAAATAGTTGTGTTCTACTCTTGAACTGAAACCAAATGCTTCAGTTTTTATTCTTAAATACGATTAATTTAACATGGTGTTTTATTTGGTTAAATCATGGATTATAATATGTTAGTGTATTAAAGGGCTTTATGCACAGTTTAAGGGATAAGGTCATCTTAAAACTTACCAAATAGCATGGAAGGCTCTTAATTTTTTTTATCAAGATAAAAATCAGGGATAGTTTTTATGCTGTTTTGTGAATTTATCAGGTTTTTACCCCTTAAATTGCTGTTAATATGATATGGCTTGTTGTCTATTAACTAAACCCCTTAACGAGCAGCAAACACAGACCTTAAATTGATCAGCAGAGCCTTTGCACATGGCCTTGTCAAATCAAAGTGTTAATAACTTCACTGTTGCAGAGGAAAGTTTTGTTTTTGTTTTTGTTTTCTCTGGGATGTTTTGCTCCTTGACCAGATCTGTGGATAGAAATTCATGTTTTTCTTGTTTCCAGTTGGGAATTGAGAATTAAGGGATTCTTGTTTCACAGTGTGTGCAGATGTGATCCATGTCAGAAGTGTAGTAGCAGCCTTTCACACTACTGTTCTGTGTACTACAACAGTATTCAGGTTGAACTGTGATTCAGTACCAGAGGCCAGATGAGGTTTTCAGGGAAAGGTTCTGAGAAGCTCAGCTGTCATGTGACACCTTCACCCAGTTTTTAGATTCTTAAGTTTCCATTTCAGTATGAGAAGAAAATGAATGAAGGACAGAACCAGTTTTCTCTGTGTGGCCATTCTGCATGTTTTTGTGCTCAGTTTGCATCTTTGTGGCTGTTTATTGACCGTCCCACTAGACGTGACCAGTCACTTCATATAGACACTCTGGCCCAGGGCCCCTGAGCCCTCGGGCTCCTGGGCCGTTGAGCCTTTTACTCTCTAAAACTCGAAACACCAGGTGGCATCGAGCTGAGCTGCAGGACTCACCTGTTCTGTCACTTTTAACTCACCGAGTTTTCTTCACAAACTCTGACTCCAGAGGAATGAGACCAGCTCTTGGCTCTGTCGGACGTTGCCAGTGTCAGAGCACCTGCTCACGTTTTCCCCTGTATCTGTATGCTAAGCTAGGCTAACCAGTGTCCTGACTTGGGCTGCGTGTGTCACGCACAGATCTGAGAGTGACGTCAGTCTCATCACATCCTCACTCAGAAAAGAAAAACTCAGAAGTACCCAGAGTAAGTAAAGAAGTAATACCACAGTGTAAACATACTCTGTTACAAGAGAAAGTCCTGCAATCAAAATGTTACTGAAGTAAAACTACAAACGTATTGGGGTCAGTATCAACAGTAACAGGAGTTGTTGTGCAGAACAGCCCATTTGATGTTACTGGATTATGACTGATGCATTAGTGTTCACCAGGTGGTAAAGGTGGAGTGTACTGTTAACTACCTTACAGTACTTGTGATGGGAAGTTATCAAATACATGTAGTGCAGTAAAGAGTACAAGGTTTGTTTCTGACATGTGGTGAAGTCCGGGGATGAAGGGCGTGGAAATGCTTGAGAGTTCAGTTGGTGGCTTTTCATGTGTGCCAGGTTCTGCTGGGGAAGCCTTGATTAAAATGCGCTGAAATGAAGGTCACGACCTTAAAGTCCGGGATTCCTGCACAGAATTTAAGGTTTCTGCTCCTTCGTTATTCTGAAACCAAGCAAGCAGCAGCTTTTAGCAGCGGCTCTGACAAACTCTGAGGCAACAGTTGGAGCACAGAGGGTCACAGTATCATCTTCCCTCTGAAGGGTGGAGGTGGGAGGAGGAGAGCTTCAGCTGTCTGCTGGCACGCCACCCCTCACCTCTCCCAGCTCCACACATACCTCTACATGCCTGTGTGAGGAGGAGCTTGAACATGATAAAATGAGATGAAATTTAAACTACCCAGAAGTCCTGGGAGGTGATGTCACGAGCCTAATATATGACCCATCTCAACACTTTATGGCTTTTTCTTATGATTTCATAAGTGTATGTCCTCTGTGCTGTTCCTTCTTAAAGCTACATTAGTTGAGGTGTTTGGCCTCCTGGGGACAGCTGACAGGAGGTTAGGGGCTCCTGGCACAGAGCGCCCTGCGAAGTGACTGCTCATATTTCCTGTTGGAAAGTCACAGAGCTCAGTTATAAGACACAAAATGACCACAGAGACGCCTGCACAGAGAGACAATGACTAAAAACAGACGCCAAGTGGCCCCCACAGGCTCCAGCTGATCACAGAGAGAGCACACAATATCAGATGCGCAGTAGTTTAGCATCTCTGTCAGTCTGACCTGTCCAGAAGGTCCAGTATTTGAAAAAATGAAACTGACTTTCTCTCTGGCTTTGTGAAGTCATTGGAATTTCTGTACAACTCTGTCAGATTAGTCAACTGAATCCAAAGTGATCAACCCTTGAAGTTGCCCTGCTTGGCCTGAACACCTGTCCCTCCCTCCTAGGGCTCCCAGCATGCCTAACTGCTCAGGGTGTGTGTGTGTGTAGGGAGGGAGTATCTATCTATAGAGCGTCCTCCTCATCACTCTGAATGCCCCAGTGAGTGCCGCGGGGTATTTTTGGGGTTGAAACCAAACACCGACAGCTACATCCTCCTGTGGACATACACTGTGTGTGAGACATGTCTCACTGCACCTGAATCCTCAGCAGAACATTGGTACATGAACACACAGGTGAATATGTCATGGTCATGTGATCTTACCAGACTAGCGTGAAGTGAATGCACAGTGAAACAGGTTTGAATGTGTACTGTGTGTGTGGCTGTGGCTCATGAGGTAGGGCAGTCGTCTCCTGACCAGCAAGTTGGTGGTTCGACTCCCGGTCTCCCTGCATACCTAAGTGTCCCTGAGCAAGACACTGAACCCCGAATTGCTCCCGGTGGCTTGACTAGCGCCAGTGCATGGCAGCCTGTTGTCATCGGTGTGTGAATGGTGTATGATCTTCTGTAAAGCGCTTTGGCCAGTGCAACCCACTGTGAGAAAGCGCTATATAAAATACAGTCCATTTACTTTTGCTGCAGTAGGAGAGTGAGTGAGTGCAGGACTCGAGCTATAAACAGCCACAGGGAGCAGGTATGTGTGTTGCAGCCATGGGGAAGTCCCTGTAGCTTGTGTGTCCTTCACAGGATTAAGGCGGCAGGTGGCAGAGGCTCGTCCACGTCATCGGCTCAGATTAGGCAGTGCTGACCTTTTTGGACCAACAAACAAACAGTCTCTAATCCCGGTCACTCACCGAGCAGAGGTACAGGACAGAACGAGTGCACAGAGAGACAGGGCGTGACAGAGGCTGACTATCATGTCAGACCTGAGCCTCCTCCTCCTCCTGACTGGGACCGCCCCTCACTCACCTGGCAGCATTACAGTACCTGTGACGTAAACAGGGCTTCTGGTCATGTGATCAGTGTGGAGATCAGGTGACCAACAATGTACACAGGGAGGCAGACTCTCCTGATGAAGACATGATGTTGGGGTCATTTGTGTTGCAGTGTGCTGAGAAGCAGTGAATGGTGTGAAGCGAGTTTTTTGGTACACATGTGCAGACTTCACCTGTATCTGACCCACATCCCGTCTGACTGCACAACACGTCCACAGAAAGACACACACAGCTGGTATGCACCGCAGACCCAGGGGAGAAACATGGCCCCAACAAGCGGTCTGAAAATAGGCAGATACATGTCTCCAGTTAAAGATCTGACCTGAGCCCCGTGAATGAAGGGAGACACAAATAGATATGATTGATTAGTGATGTCTGGTGGATTCAGTGCTGGTGTCATCTTCTCTACAGGTCTTGCAGAAACTCGGCAAAGCAGATGAGACCCGAGATGCTGCCTTTGAGGAGATGGTGGCCAACTTCAACAAGCAAACGGTCAGGAGCGGCTTTCCCTCTTTACCTGTCATCTAAACACACATGTTACTGGAGAAATCAGTCTAGAGAATGAGGAAACGGTGCTCGCTTCTGATGCACCTGATACACATGTATTTCAAGATTTTCTTTGTCATATCCTTTAATGTTTTAGAAAAGTAGTCCATGAAGTTTCCACTTGTAATGTATGTTTTGGGTGAATTTTCTGACTGTATTGGACAGTTTTTGTTGCCATGTAAATGTGACTTGTTGCTCAGTTGTAGCACAGATGAAAGTCTGGTCTGTTTTGTAGCTGCTCTGTTAAACCCAATTTCCTGTTTTGTAGGCAGAAGGCACCAAACTGCAGAAAGACCTGAAGGCCTACCTGACAGCAGTGAAAGGTACATGTGTTTGAGAGTGTTTGGCTGGTGCACGTTGAACATCATCAGGCATTTCTAGGTAGTAACGGGGTGTAACACACCTCCACTACAAATTGTGATGTTTTTACATGTAGAGATGTTTTGGGGGACTGGTCAGACGTTTGTGCTACTGGTCCTGTTTTCTTCTGGTCACACTCATGCTCCTGTATCTCCCAGTACACAGTCATGTGTACTGCCCATGGACACATACCTGGCCTTCCTCCCGCCCTGTCACTGACCTCATGATAGCAGTTAACAGAGAGTTCACTGAGCCATGTGCCTCAGCTGTCAGGGAACCAGATGTGTGTTGTCTGATGCCCCTGTGTGTTACTGTGTGTTGCAGCCATGCATGATGCATCACGGCGGCTGCACGACTGTCTGGCTGCCATGTACGAACCCGACTGGTTCGGCAAAGAGGAGATGGACACTCTGGCAGAGGTGAGACCAGGAAACAGTTGGCCGTCTCTGCTTCCACCTCCACTGTTCTCAGCTTGACATCACTTTCAAATCCAGATGCTAAAACAGTCCTTAGCTTGTCTCTTTAGGAGATAGAAGTGATGGTGTGTACATCTTGGAAGTGAGAAGAGCCATTAAGGGCATCTTTCATATTTACACATGTACACGTTTCCCTTTTGTTCACGTCTATGTCAGGGAGGCTCTCCAGCATCTTTCCCTCTTTTCCTACCTGCTAATACTCTTTCTTTGTCTTAACTGCATGCCTCTGTCCTTCCACCCTGAAGGAGATGATAGAGAAGGAGATGGACGAGAACTTGGAGGTAAAACACAGGGAGCCCCCAGAGTTTCCCACAGTTTCTGTGCACACATATTTGGTTTCAACATTAGTGGCGTTGTACTGCTGCTTGTGGTGAGCGCTGTCATCTTCACAGAGGAAGAGGAAACAGATTCTATGGCAAACGCTGGTCCAGCTCTGCAGTAGAGAAAGTAGACTTTTGATCAGACTGATCAGTTATACTCAGCATCACTAGAAAACTGCATAATTAATGCTGCAAGTTACTTTCAAGTGATAAGAAGACAAATGTTTCAGCCGTGGTGGAAAGTACATTTACTCACATACTGGACTTAAGCACAATTCTGAGCTATCGGTACTGGAGTATTTCCATGCTCTGCTACTTCATACTTGGACTTCACCACATGTCAGAGGCAGAGCTATACTTTTTACTGATAACTAGTCCTTTTTTATTCTGTAACATTGCCTGAAACAGTGAATTGTAGCCTCAGGACAGTGACTCCCATAGAGGAACGCAGCAGTCGTGGAGCTGACAGAAGCAGCCACACGGTGTGAACATGATGCATTGTGTGTGTTTCAGGACACAGACACTCTGTGGCTAGACTACCACCAGAGCATCATGGAAAAGTCTCTGCTGCCCATGGACACATACCTGGCTCAGTTTCCCGATATCAAGGTGTGTGAGTAAAATGACCAGTTCCTCAACAGAAACTGATGGTGTTCATCTGAAATGCTGAAGTGTCACTCTCTTATTGACGATGACTGCCATCACTCACAGAGAAAATGTGTGGTGGCTACTGGAAACCATCACTGTACGTGGAGGACGACATGGCGCCTTTACTTAGTACATAACAAAATTTGACATACGTTTTTAAGTAGAACCATGCTGAATTTATTTGCAGTAACCTCCACTGCTGTGCTGCTCTTTACTCAAAGGATTTTGAGTAAAGAGCATAAAACTGGCAGATATCATGAGTTGTTGAGGGAATTAATCAAAATATAGTGTCACGTGGATATAGTTTATATTTTAAAAAGACAGTAATTTCCAAAAAACAGCTGCTCACTGTAGTTTTTATCAAACAGAAGTGGATGAATCCACAGTTAGTCTCTGGTGAGTATTTGTGGCAGCAGGACTGAGTCGGGGTAAACGACAGTGTGTAGTTGTGCAGCTCTGAGGGTCGAGTCATGTGACAGCAGTTGACCCTGAACTCTCCCACAGGCTCGTATAGCAAAGCGCGACAGGAAGATGGTGGACTTTGACAGCGCCAGGCATCACTTCACCTCCTTACAGAAAGGCAAGAAGAAGGATGAGGCCAAGATTGCAAAGGTAACAGAGTGTGTGTCCACAGGTGTGTAGGTTGAATTATTAGCTCCATCTGCAGTTTGTGTCTGTGTGTGTTTGAGCATGAGTTTTATACTGAGTTTTAATTGGTTGTTGTTAATGAGGCATGGATAAACCATACCACCTTAAAATCCAAGAAGTCCAGCCTCCTGTAAGAGTGGATGGATTACTGAACGGGCCTACTGGGTCCACTCATAGGGGCCCCAAGTCTTTAAAAGGCCCCTGGGCCTTCAGAGTCAATGAGACTCAAAACATCTACAAAGAGAAACAACATGACTAAATACACAAAGCAACTGTAAAACACTCAGAATGAGCACAAAGAGGCTAGTTCTGAGCAGAAGAGACACAAAACAGCCACAGAGAGACTTAATCCGACTACAATGCTGATGGCTCTGCAAACACACTGATTGTAGTTGTTTTGTGTCTCCTTCAGTCTGAGGCTCCTATGTACGAAGGGAGTTTGTGCCCAGGGCCCCATTGTGTCCTGGCTGTTTGCTAATTGGCCCGTGTCGTATTAATTTAAACTGGCAGGTGAAACTGTTTCTTGTCCCTGACTAAATGCTAATTAACATTTTTGTATTTGTCCTGAATTGTTTGCTCTTTCTCTCTCTCATCACTCTACCACATCCTCCTCTCCTTTCCGTCCTTCCCTCCCACCCTCCCTCTCTGTGCTGCATGGTGTGTGTGGCTAGCCAGCAGCCCTGTTGGAGATGGCGGCTCCCAGCTGGGCTCAGGGTTTGATATCAGCCCACCAGGTGGCTCAGACTAACCTCTCCTACAACCAGGTGAACCTCTGGTTCCTCACTGACTCCCCCAGCATCCATCACTGTCGTCTGAATGCCTCACAGCATTCTGTAGTTATTAAACCCTGTATGTGTTGGTCTGAGTGTGTGCACGCTCATGGAAAATAGTCCTTATTAAACACACATGCAGTAGGTGTGTGATTAATATTGACTGTGTGTGTGTGTGTGTGTGTGTGTGTGTGTGTGTGTGTGTGTGCAGGCCGAGGAGGAGCTGGGCCGAGCTCAGAAGATTTTCGAGGAGCTGAACGTGGAGCTACAGGATGAGCTGCCAGGACTGTGGAACAGGTGGGACTGGCCTCACGCAGCTGCTTCTCCATCTTTAAAGGGGACTCAGTGTAATCGTTTTTCTTAAAATGTGTCTCAGTGTAATCGTTTTTCTTAAAATGTGTTTGTACATGTGTGTGCAGCCGTGTTGGCGTCTATGTTAACGCATTCCAGAGCCTGGCCGGCCAGCAGGAGAAGTTCCACAGGGAAATGAACAAGGTGGGTCTAACTCAACTCATGTTACTCATTGACCAGCACAACCGACCTCATATGGATTTGAACCACATGGGGGCCCGGTGTGGTTGCTGTGTGTCTTGAGTTAGTGGTCATTATGCATGTCATTGTATTTTTTCCTTGTGTGTTTTGTTTCTCTGCAGTCTTTTTTTCTTTTCTGTTTTGCATCTCTGTGCACTGGTTTTGTGTGTCTGGACTTGTTTTGCATGTCTTCACACTTGGCTTGTGTCTGTTTTTGGATGCTTTGAATTAGTTGTTGTTATTTTGCATCTCCTTTTGCTTGTCTGGCATCTCCTGAATTAGTTTCTTTCATCTCTTTCCAGTTGTTTTGTGTCTCCAACTGTTTTTTCTTAGTAGTTATTTTGTCTCTTTATAGTCACTTTGCATCATATTGTCATTATTTTGACCTTTGTTTTAATATTTTTTGTCTTTGAGGTAGTTTTGCATGACCTTGTACTCATTTGTTGTCTTGCTGTAGTTGTTTTGCATCTATTTTTACTTGATTTACGCCTCTTTGCTGTTATTTAATTAGAAATACTGAATCACTTTATATAGGCGGTCTAGTCCGGGGGCCGCCCAGACTGTTGGGCCCCTGGGCCTGTGCTGTTGCCCCATCCATGCAGCTGAGTGATGTTCAGTCACTGATCTTTTTCTGCTCTGTCTCCTCAGCTCAGCCAAAACCTGAATGACATCATGACCAAACTGGAGGAGTGCCAGCAGCTCAAGTGAGTGAACAGAACAGTTTTGATGATTTTAAAGGTTGAATGATGTGTAGAACAAACCAGTAATGCCTCTCACACCGCCCCCTACTGCAGAAAAGATGGTACTGCAGCAGCCAAGATGGGAGATGATGCAAAGAGGTAACACTTTGCTCCTTATTCTGTCCACACAGGCTGAGCATGCTGCTTCTTTTACAACACTTAGTTGTATTTAAAAAATCTGTGCATTGTTTGTTGAACCTAACCTCCAGGTAACTGTCGGTTACAAGCCAGATTTATCCTCACTGAAAAACTTTATCTAAGAACATATTCATAGCAATATTCATAAATCCTACAAAATAAGAGTGTAGTTCAGGGACTGAGGTAGATGTGAAAATAAGTCAGAATACCAAACAGGAACATTTTTAAACATTTTTACAGCATGATTATTTGGAATATTTGAGAATTAAACTCCTGATGATACAGGAACAAACTGGTAATTTTGAGAAACAGTTCTTAATATTTTGGCCAGATACGTTTTATAAGAATAAAGTTATGATGTTCCAAGAGGAAAAGGGTTTTAGAAGTTTTTGAAGGTTTTTTTCATATGTGTGTAAATTCAAACAACATTAATGGTTTGCTTTTTGACTGTTTGTGCTGCACTGACACTTCCTGTTGGTCTCATGCTGTTGTTGTTGTCTGTTTGAGGTGTCGGCACTCTGCAGATGTTGTCATCTGCATGTTTTGCTCTGTCGTGAAGCTTTTTGTTGCCCTCGTGTGGATGGAGCTGAGAACTTGATGTGCGCTGAGTTGTTTCTTTTCTTCCTCACTCATCCTCTTTTTCTTCCATATATTCCTTCCCTCCTCCTGCTCTCTCCTTTCCTTCCTGTATCTGTTTTTCTTTCTCCTCCCTCTTGTCTTCTCTCAGTGAGGAAGCCAACCACAGCGAATCAGCCAGCTCTCCACCAAAGGTACAAACACAGCACACTTCCTCCCAGCAAACCCTTTAATGTATAGACAGCGTATTAACTATATATTTTTGTGAAGTTAAAACACGAGAATGAGGTTGAGTTAAAACAGCTTGAAGCGGCCAGATACACATATGAGAAGAGATCAGCGTAACTCACAGAAGACCAACAACAAACTGATGACAGACTTGAGGCCTCAGCGTCAGCAGCGTCCTATGTAACATCCAGCAGTAACACCCACTGCACACAGCAATCCCGGCCTCTAACTCTGACCTATGTTTCTGTCTCCCTCCCTGCTTCTGCATGTCTGCATGTGTGTGCTTTTGATGTAACCCCTCCTGGTGGCGCAGAGGCCCGGTCCTCCACCTCCCAGTCGGCCTCCACCCAGACTGACGCCGTCCCCGGACCAGAGACAGCAGCTTGTTGCCCTGTTCGAGGACGGGGCCTCAGTGGCCAATGCTGAGACAGACTGTGTGACCAGGACACAGCAGGTCAGGCCAACTACTACCTGGGTGTTACTTAAAGAGGGAGACGGTAATGCAAGATCAACACCAGAGCTTCTGTTTGGTCAGAGTAGATTGGGAAGGTGAACTAGGCCAAGTCACTGAATTAGTAGTACTGTGTATCTGTTGACTGGCTGTAGTTAGTTTTTTTTTCTTCAGCCTGCAGGAGAGACTTGGTGTGGCTGCCCCAGCCAGGAGCGGCTGCGGAGCAGTCGGTCAAATCTAATCTGATTCATATACAGTAGCAGCTTTTGTACAAGGCCACACAGCACAAGGTTCTTTAGAGACGACAGATGAGATGAAAACAAGACAGACTAGAAAAAACTGTTTCAGACAAATAATAGCTCAGATGATTCAAATAGAAAACATTATAAAGCTTGTAAAAGACACTGTCAAATGTAATATATAGGCATGAATACAACATTTTAAATCATTACTGAATCATTAGCAGAGGTTTTAAGTTCAACTTTCACAACATCTCCACTGAGCTGCTCTCAGAATCTCTGCACTTCCATCCATCCATCCATTTTCCTCCTCTTATCCGGGACCGGGTCGCGGGGGCAGCAGTCTAAGCAAAGATGCCCTGACTTCCCTCTCTCCAAACACTTCCTCCAGCTCCTCCGGGGGAATGCTGAGACATTCCCAGGCCAGCCGAGAGACATAGTCCCTCCAGCGTGTCCTGGGTCTTCCCCGGGGCCTCCTCCTGGTGGGACATGCCTGGAACACCTCCCTAGGAAGGCGCCCAGGAGGCATCCAAAACAGATGCCCGAGCCACCTCAGCTGGCTCCTCTCGATGTGGAGGAGCAGCGGTTCTACTTTGAGCTCCTC